TCTCTCTCTCTCTCTCTCTCTCTCTCTCTCTCTCTCTGTGTGTGTGTGTGTGTGTGTCGCGCGCGCGCGCACATACCCAGTCCGATATCCCGACCGTCTCTGAATAAACCTCCGCTTCATCCCTTCTCGATACCCCCATGCGCTTACCTCGGCAGGATTTATGCTCTCATGCTCCGCCCTTCTCTTGATCTCCATCCATCCAATGGCATTACGCTGCACACTGACTCTGGTCACCGCCAGACGTGACCGCTCCCACTCCATAACCCTCTCCACCACAGATTGGCATTCGCAAATTCAATCGACGGTGATCGATTGACTGATTGATTGATTGAATGATCAACAGAAGAGAAAAGGTAGAACACAGGGAAGTGACGACAAGCAGGTGCAAAGGGAGCAGGATGACAAAGAAGTAGGAGGAGGGAGGTGCGAGAGAGGTTAGGAAAGCGGGGAGGGGGGGTGTGGAGTCAACATTTTAGAACTCGGAGATTTTGGAACTGGACATCAAAAAAAAAAATCAAAATCAAAAATTCAAAATTTTCGACAGGAGTCGGGGAAAAAAAAACGGGAAGAGGAAGAAGGGGCCAAAGGGAGGACGATGGCTCTGTTCTCCCCCTCTCTCCATTGTAGCTGACCTGAATAGAACGACGCCCGGTCATTATAGGACGCGAAGGATAACCAGACGAACGAGGTAAAGACGGAAGAGGTAAAAACTTAGGAGACGAGAACAAGGGGACCAAAAATAAAAAAATAAAAAAAAATCGTCTTCACCCGAATAGAGCGCCCCGTCATTATCGCTGTATTTAGAGAACGAGACGGCCCAAATTTTCAGAGATCCGCACGTTCCATTCGGGTGATGACGGTAGGACACAGAGAGAGAGAGAGAGAGAGAGAGAGAGAGAGAGAGAGAGCCTCAAGATGAGGCCAACGAGAGGGAGGGAAGAGGAGGACAAGAATGAGAGAGAGAGAGAGAGAGAGAGAGAGAGCCTCAAGATGAGGCCAACGAGAGGGACAGAAGAGGAGGACAAGGATGAAAGAGTAGAGAGAGAGAGAAAGAGAGAGAGAGAGAGAGAGAGAGAGAGAGAGAGAGAGAGAGAGAGAGAAGGAGAGAAGACGGTGTAAAAGTACGTACCACATTTTTCAAGTCTTGCGAGGGCTGGTTAACATTAGTGAAGTCTTTTAAAGCATTAGCGAGAGAGGAAAAGATAGGCTCTGTAGCCATAGCCATCATGTATTTGCTTTCGTCCAGAGGTTCGATCACTCTGACGACGCCGTGATGAAGAAGTTTGGTAAGATTCGCTGCGTCGGCGCGAAAAACCTCGAACAGCTGCTCCTCGGCGGCCTTGGAAGTTCCTTTCTTGTGCCTCTCGTCAGCAAGTGCCTTCTTATCCAAAATCCAAACACAGACTTCAGAGTTATTGGAATTAGCGATGGCGGATTTAGACTTCGGTTTGCCTCTGTAAAGTTTCCATAAATAGCCCGGGCCAGCAGATCCAACCTGTTCCACCAACTCGTAATCCTGAACGGGCTTAGGACCAGCCACATCATGCACTGTGTTTTGAACACTCTTCTCGATCTTCGCCGCCGTCTTCACCAACGCCTTCGTGAATGTCTTCATCTTCATCAACGCCTTCTGTTACCTCTTCTTCTTCTTCTTCTTCTTCTTCTCTCTCTCTCTCTCTCTCTCTCTCTCTCTCTCTCTCTCTCTCTCTCTCTCTCTCTCTCTCTCTCTCTATCTATCTATCTATCTATCTCCCCTTATGTGTATACCTTGTCATTTATGCCTGAACAGCTACTCTCTCTCTCTCTCTCTCTCTCTCTCTCTCTCTCTCTCTCTCTCTCTCTCTCTCTCTCTCTGTGTGTCTCTGTTCTCTATATTTCTGCCGAATTTTATCCGTACAGACAGCTGACATCAATCGACCTATTCAGCTACCATGCCAATCTATCATTCTGCACAGCCATCCTAGTTGCTTCATGCAAAAACTCGATGCTTAGCGAACGAGCACGGCCTCCCTGTCTTCGGACATCCCTCCACGTGAAGCGCAATCAGCACACAAGATAGATCGAAGACCCAATCAAACGCTCAGTAAGGCGCATGCAAGCACTGACACTGTCTCCGGGAAGGTCCATCAATGTCAATTCCGCTGTATAGACTCTTCCACCAATGCTACTCTCTCTACACCGTTCAACCTGTGTACATGAGGTTTACGTGTATAGCGCCTATTCATTCTGTTCTTCTCAATTGCGGTATACAATCTTGTTTGATTGACTTCCGACTCTTCGATTTCCCCTCCCCCCCCCCTTTGACTCTTGGATTCCCCCTCCTCCCCCACGACTCTTGAATTGAATTCCTCCCCTCCCTTTTTTTTTTCTTAAACACTGCTCTTGGATCGATATCTACAATCTCTCAAAGAACTATCAACGGAAAGAGAAGAACCCAAAGAACAAAAAAAAAACGATATCCACAAACGGCGCCGCCAACGGAGTAATCACAGGCAGAGGAGGGGCAACACTGCAAATGATCCCCTTCTACTTCCTCCTTCCTTTCTGCTCCTCCTTCCTTTCTCCTCCCTCCTTTCTCCTACCTCCCTCCTACCTTCTTCCTCCTTCCTCCTCCTTAAATTTCCGTCGCTAAATGCCGGATTAGGGCGGGGGAAAAAGCTCATTCAAAAAAATCCACATGCATTATTTATGCAATTACCGGCGGGAACCTGATTACTCGATCGTTCGATCAGTAAATGGGCGCTATACACGTAAACCTCATGTACACAGGTTGAACGGCTTCCACCTCCTCCATCACACCCGTGCGCTTGCACTGCCCGCTCTCTACACGGAAAAAAAAAAAAAAAAAAAACGACAAAAAAAAAAACCTTCCTGCTCTACTTCGAACGCGACCGGGTGAAAGATATGCGGCGGGAACTTTTCATTTTCTCTGTATAGAGAACGGATATGCCTACAAGAGGTGCCTCAACCCCGACTTGCCTCCGCTCGAGCAAAAAAAACCGGAGAGTCGGGATCCTGAGGTAGTCTTCTCCGCACGCGCGACGCACAAGCCGCGCGCGCGCGCGCGCCAGCGGAGCGGTTATGGCGGGTACGTAGCCCGAACTACAACAACCTGTGTCTCTCGGATAGTAAACAAAATTGCTCAACAAGTCCGTAGATCATAGGCCTCCGCAGTAATTCATTGATTGATTGATTAATTGATTGATTGATTAATTAATTGATTAATCGACTGATTAATTGGTTGATAGATTGATTCATTCATTCATTCATAGATCGACGTCTCTTGACTGGTAGCCTGAACTAAAACCTGGTTTGACCGGCAGGTCGGTCGGCAGATCACTAACGGCCCCATCTCCTCCCAAAGGCCCCCTCTACTCGTGTCACGATGTACGCATTATACACACAGACACAGAGAGAGAGAGAGAGAGAGAGAGAGAGAGCTCCCGCACACCCCTCACTACCCTCTAGCAACTTGAAGCCTGAAAGAGATATCAATCAAACCACTGTCAAACCGATTCACAGATTTGCTCGAGGAGCTGCTCCCGCTCCTCCACGCTATGTCGCGATCCCGGCCCACCCCCCTCTCCCCTCCTAATAGACATAAGATTACCGGGATCTCCAGATAGACCGAATCTGCACCCAATCTAGGCACGTGTCACTGGGCAGCGAGCTCCCACCGCGAATAATCAATCGACGGCTTGGTCCTAACTCGGGAACCCTGACTCGATACGCACAGAGCCCCCTGCACAGAGCGCGCCAGCTGCCCCTACCCTGCGTGTGCTTCCGTTTGTGACACTCTGTTTTCCAATAGTAGTAGGCTACAACCCCTTGGTCCCGAGAAATGTGAAAATGGCTGACGCATCTTCCCACGTTCTAGCGCAATATGCGTACCAGAACAACAAAAAGACGAACTAAAAAAAACATTGTTCTTTGTTCTGCTAATAACAACTAACTTTTCTTGTAACCAAAAAAAAAATAATAATAATAATAATAAAATAAATAAATAAATAAATAAAAATAAAAAAAGACGAACTATCCTGATGCCATCAACAAAAAAAAGTACGTAATGTCCTCATCATCAACACACTCAGGGAACACTCTCACACATCGTGAGATGCATCCAACCGTAATTTACAGCCAGATTCTGCCCTGAAATGTCCGAGTATGTATGGCCTCAACCAAGTGCACAACCCACGACTCTTCCAAACTGTGCCATCACTCGAAGGATGCTGCGACTCGAGCGCCCCAGCATCGAAGTCCCAGCATCGACACACTGTACGACCTCTGTGTAGTTTTGGGCCTCACCACACTACTCATCAACCAATTGCACAAAAGACAAAAGTTGGGCCTGACCGCGGTACATCTTTCCATTTCCTACCAGGTGATTCAGGGCATACTCCCAAGAGGACCTGAGAAGTCACAAATATCTGGGGCGTTTGGTACCATGTATTTGTGCCTTTGGGCGCCCGTGCGGTCACACACGCTTTCTGTGTCCAGAAAGGACAGAGTACCGGCCTACAGTGTTCCCCCGAATACAACGCACGGTCATTATAGCTGAATTTAGACCGAAAGATACACCAAATTCAGCTATAATGACCGTGCGTTGTATTCGGGGGAAGACTGTAGACATTTGTGCCTCACAGGAACTGCACGTAGTCACACCGGTTACACCCAAAAATATATAGAGTTTGTTTTTTTTTCCAATGCTGAAATAACATGCACGGCTGTTTTGCTCATGCACGAATTTCTTGAAGTACCTCACGGAGAAAAAAAAAAAAGAAAGAAAACATCTAAGGGCACCCTCACACTAGGTACCCAAATTCCCAAAAAATGGGAAAATGGGAACGGCCGTTTTGAGGAAATGCGGCCGTGGCCGGTCACACTGTGTTCCCAAAACGCTAACGACAAGGTCGCTACATCATACTCTGCGAGGTGGTTGTGGAGGGCGCCGGTCACAAGGTGGATACCTCAAATGGCAAATGCAATTATTCGTTTTGTCAATTGATAGGCCGCTAATATCGTGGGGTTCCATTTTTCTCCAATACTGCACGATAATTCGGAAAAGGATTTGAGAATTTGCGGTAACCTCCAGAGGTCACCGCAAATTTCCTCCCCCCGCGGCTTCGCAGGCCTCTGACAAATGGTCACCCCTTTTGAGAATTTGGGCAGATGTTCACCATGTGTGACTGTCCGGGAACTCTTTTTTGGGGGGGAAATGGGGATTTGGTACCTAGTGTGAGCGTGCCCTAAACAGGGTCCTCCAGCGACGCAGGCTGCTGACAGATTGGTCACCGAAAAGTCCATTTGGGTAGCGGCCCTCTCCAGTGTGACCCGAAAACTGCCTCAAATTTTGGGATTTAGGGTCATCAGGTCCACGCGTGAGTATGCGGTCATTCTCATTTTGCACATTTGGTGAGTGGTGCAGCCAGGCCCCTTAGATACTATGGGCCCTGGCTCCACTGCACACCATTGGAAATGAATCTGGACCCGACAGATGCCCCGGTACATTCGATACGTTCGACCAGCACGAAAGTATTGGGGTGAGGGCCTAGTTGCACTACTGTCCATAGGCCAAGTTTGGAGAGTAGGCGCCTGGTTGCACTTACTCGCCAAACTTGGTGAATGCAAAATGTGTCGCCAAACTTGGCGAATGCAAAATGTGTCAGACTGCTCACCACACGGTCGACACAAGTTGTGGAGAGTGAATTCGGTTTCCCCGCCTGTTCGCAGCCCATCAGGGGTGCGTTGTGACGCCCGAACCTCACGCCCAGCGTGACTTCCTGATCGGAGTGGGGTATGGGCCTGGAAGTGCGAAAACGGGTGTGCCAAGGATTTTTGGGAAAAGTGGGGGAGTCTTAAGGGTATGAATGCAATTAGGCGAGCGTGCGCAAGGGACTCACGGTCCGATGGGGCCGGGACACTGTGGGCGACGGGTTACGGGAAAATTCCTCCGTGGTGGAGGTGGTCCTGAAAAGTTAGGCCGTCGGGGGCCGCCACGCGGCGCAGACCGCCGCGTACCTGGGTTGGGCCTCCGAAATTCCGGAGTGTTCTGCGCACCGTTGCATCGGCAGTTCACGCAAAACGTATTGGGCCAATAGGGGGCTATGGCAGGCCACGGAACGACACTGAGTTGATGATACGGGAGAAGGAGGCGGAAAGGAGGGAAACTGGTGGTGATCTCAACGAATCCTGGGTGGGTGAAGTAGTATGTGTGGTCAGGGGAAGGGAAATCGGAGCACCGAGGGTCGCTAGTGGTAGCACAGTGGAATTCCCGCGGACATAACCGATTCTCCGTTGGACAGGGGTATCGTGTCCTAATGAGCTCGTTTATTATAGGGGTGAAATAATCTGGGTCGTAGGACGAGTCTGAGTTCCAAGATCGCGTCATGGTATCATCGTCGGTGGGATAGCGCGGGTCGGGTTTTCGTCACCACGTACAAGCACGTGCAGGACAGGCCGATTTAGTGGCGCCTCAGCATGCTCGTACGGGATGATGGTTCCGTCGTGACTCCTTTCTGGGGGAGCGAGTCGTCGCACGGAAATGCGTGTAAGGGCGCGACTCGGATCGCGTTTACACGTGTTCGCGGCGTCTTGCCGAGCCAGACCTCGGATCGTTTAATTGCTTCTGATTATGTCAGATGCAACCATATCACAACCCTCATCGTGAGATAAGCAAAAACGAGGACAAAATCGCTATCGGGGCCATATTCCTATCCCATCTACAACTGCATCAGGTGTGGGCAAAGATTCGACACAAACAAAAGGCAAGGACAGGGATTCTCAACAAAAAGATATATAGACAGGCATAACGTCCACACATCCACACATTCCTACATCCATACATTTGATAATCATACGCATAATGCCATAGCAAAGACAAGTGTGAGCAAAAACCCAAGCCCAAATCTCATAAAGCCGAAACGAAAATAAGAACGGGCAAACCGCCCGGAGCCGTAATCAAAATGTATGTACACAGATGAAGAGGGGGAAGAGACAAAGAAACAGCGAATCCGCGTCCATCGATCTCAACTCTCTCCTCCTCTCCCTCTCTCTCTCCGATGCGGACAGTCCGTCGTCACGCACCCACCCACGAAGTTGTCACCCCGCTTAGTCCTCCCGCACCCGTTGGATTCGCCCGTGCCCACAGTCCGTCATGGCCCACGTCAATCCCGCGCGTTCG